TATCTTTGTATTCCTAGCCTGGCACAGTGGCTTCCACATAGTATGTGCATAAAAAACAGGTTTTGAATGGAATGGAAAGGAGCTTCTCAATAGATCTAATTTAGTAATAAGTAGTAAACTGAATGAGGATAATGAGAAGAGTATCTCTTATTAACTAAAAATGTTTTCCCTAGAAATTTAATATAATATGAGTTATTTCCAGCTAAGTGGGACTGAAGGACTTGAAGTCAAAGATGCTCCAGAGTGCTGAACTGAACCAGAAGCAGGCCCCTAACTGGAAGCAGGCAGCAACTATCTGTGCAATTTATGTCCTGCTGAAAATACTACTTTTTGAATGTTAAAGCACTTCCTTTTAGGATCTTAAAGACCTTCTAGTCCAACTGGTTCACTTTTCATGTGAGGAAACTGAGGCCCCCAAAAATTAAGTACTTCACCAAAGTCACACATGTAACAAGTGACAGAGCCAAGTTTCTCACCCCCATCCTCCAACTCCAAATCTAGTGCCCTTTCCATTGTGCCATGCTGGTTATTAGAGAGTAGCCATCAGAGTCAAAAGATGTGGGTTCAAGACCTACTTATAACATATGCTGACTATGTGACCACAGGCAAACCGTTTAAACTCCTCATATCCCAAACACGTCTCTAAGTCTAAAAGTTATAGATGAGTTGTCAGTCTACACTACATAAATTAAATAAATTTAAAAAATGCTTTCAGTGTGCTATTTGAGATGTTCCTATCTGATTTTTTTAAAAGTACTTTCCAATTTTCTTTTTCTAGTATTCATTCTTTCCATTTTTCTTTTAAATATAAGCTTAAGACAATAATATCCTAGATAGTTCAACTGGTCTAAATCACAATCCAACTCTGAAAAAGTTCCTAGGTAAGTTTGCACATCATTTTTATTCCCTGGCATTATATGGAAGCAAACAAAGGGAACAGTGAACAAATAGCCATTTGCATAGGTCATTATGTCTTAGCATCCTAAAATGTCTTCCCAGTCCTACCTTCATACCCACCACAGAAGACTCGACAACAGAATGTCAATCTTGCTGAAAGCATCTCATGGTTTGACCTTAGAATCCCAATCGTGTACCAGAGATTACCCTGACCCACCTTCCACACAATGGGACCTTGAGGCTACCCCTGTGCAATTTCCCTCACCTTCATGAACGTCCCTGATGAAACAAAGCCAAAGATGATAACTTTTTTTTTTAATATACAAGGAATACTTAGACAAATTTGGAGGGAGACTCAGAGCAAATGTATTTTTTGTGACTTTTATTTGATTTTTAACCTTTCAAAATGATTGTTATAACATTACTGTTTAACATCCATAGAGCCAATTAAATCTGCTTTACAACTATTTATGGTTAAATTGATGAATTTCAGTGCATAAGATGTCATAAAATTTTTTATAATAATGGTAGCTAATATTTATATAAAGCTTTAAGGTTTGCAAAGAACTTTACATATATTATCTCATTTATCCTCACTTCAACCCTGTGAGGTAGTGCTATTCTTATCTGCATTTTATTAATGAGGAAACTAAGGTTGATTAAGATTAAGTGACTTGTCGAGGCTCATATCGTTAGTAGGTGTCTCAAGTGGGATTCAAGCCCAATCATTCCCTCTAAGTCCCAGTCAGGCTAATTGATTCATTTACTATTTTTTTTATTTTGTTGAAATTATGTGTAAAAAAATTCTTCCTATTACTTTAAAATGATACTTACTATCTGTGTGAACCTAGACAAGTTGCTTAATCCTGTTTACCTCCCTTTCCTCATTTGTAAAATGAGCTGAAGAAGGGAATGGCAAACTACTCCATTATCTTTGCCAAGAAACCTCAAATGGGGTCATGAAGAGTCAGACATGACTGAAACGACTTAATTACATTACAACAAACATCAAAAAATTAATTTTTCCAAATTTGGGGTTTTAGAGTAGAGATTTACTTCATCTTTGGTTCTATTGTATGTTTCTTGTTGTTTAGTATGTTGCATTTACAGTAAAATATTTTAACTCATTAATAATAATAATGATGATAGTTATATAATATCAAAAATTGCCCTTGATTTCCTTAGAAAGTCTACTTTTCTTCTAATATCCATTACAACCTTCTCCCTAAGTGTTCTCTCCCTGGGTTTTCATGATACTGCTCCATCACGGCTCTCTTCTTGCTTATCGGAGCTTTCCTGCTGAGTCTCCTTTGATTGATCTGTATACTTCTACCGTGCACAGGCATATCCCCATATTGTATCCTGGACTCTCTTCTTTGTCTCTCCCTTAATGATCTCATTATGGGTTCATTTATATCTTTATGAAGATGACTCTGAACTGTATATCTCTCTTTGAGCTCCAGTCTCACGTCATAGCTGCCACCTGTTCCGTATCTCCACCTGGATATAACATAGGCATTTCAACCTCATCATTATCAAAACAGACCTCCACATGTCCAAAGTATGTTTCTCCCTAAATCCACCCATCTTTTTAACTTTCCTATATTTTCAAGTGGACCATCAGCTTTCCAGTCACCTCGGTTGGTGACATTGTAGTTATACTCAATTCTTTCTCTCACACACATATCCAATCAGTTGCAAAGTCTTGTCAATTCTACCTCCATCATTTCTCTTGTGTACATCCCCCTCCCTCCATTCAGCCATCACCCTAATTCAGGCCCTTGTCAACTTTTACCTGTATTCTTACAATGGTCTCCTAACTGATCTTCCTGCTTCCAATCTTTCCCTTTTCTAATTCATCCTCTCTACAGCTGCCAAAATAACATTCCTATAATACAGATCTGATTATGTCATTCTATTACTCAAGAAGCTTCACATCTTTCACATTATAACTCCAACTGATCTTTCCAGGCTAGCTTCACATTGTTCCTTCCTCAAGAACTCTCTGATCCTGCCAAACTGTCCTAATTACTATTGTTTGTTGTACCTTCTATTCAAGTATCCCTATCTCTGTGTTTTTTGTTGTTTAGTCATTTTTTCAGTCATGCCCAACTCTTCATGACCCCATTTGGAGTTTTTGTGGCAAAGATACTAAAGTGGTTTGTCATGTGCTTCTCCAGCTCATTTTACGAACGAGGAAACTGAGGCAAACAGGGTTAAGTGACTTTCCTGGGGTCAGAGATGACTCTCTGAACTGTGCGTCTCTCTCTTGAGCTCCATAGCTGATAGGTAAGTAAGGGTCTGAGGCCAGATTTGAACACTTGAAGATGAGTCTTTCTGACTTTAGAACTCCAGACTCTATCCATTGTACCACTTAGCTGCTTCTGTGTTTACAAGGGCCTTTGCCTGGAATGTTCTTCTACCTCCCATAAACCCTTTTTTCAAGATTCAACTCAGGGGCCACCTTCTACACAAGGTCTTTTCTAATGCCTCTGGTTATTAGTGCTCTTCCCACCAAGAAAAAATCATTGATTACTTTGTACATATCTTATATTCAAGTATTTGGGCACATACACTTGCACCCCAGTGGAATATAAGCCCTTTGATGTACATATTGTTTAGTTTTTGTCTTTGTATCTTTAGCACCTAGAACAGTAGCTGACACATAGTGAGCATTTAATAAAAGGAACCTTTAAAATTCCCTTTAACAAAGGGATTTTTAAAATTAATAATTGCCTTAATAAAAAGAAAGGGAGAGTTTTTATAATGGAGTATTTGACAATGTTAAAGATGGTACGGAATTTAGCCAAGATGAAAACTAAGCAAAAGGCATTAGGTTTGGTAATTAGGCCAATCATAATATTAAAGGGGGTAGTTTTGGCAGTAATAGAAGCCAGGTTACAAGGGATTGAGGGATGAATGATTGATGAGGAAGTATTGAAGGTTAGGTGAATAAGGAAGAGAAATGATAGGACCTTAACTTAAAGGAAGAGCAAGGCTGAGATAAAACAATTCTTTTTCTAGGCTTGAGGGTACCTGAGCATGTTTGTACACAGAATGGAAAGAGCCAATGGAGTGAAGAGACTACAAATGGTGTGGGAACAAAAAGGATTAATTGAGGAAGGGCAGCTTGGTGTAGTGGAAAGAGTATTAGATCTGGCATCAAAAAAGACCTGGGTTTGAATCTCTGGCAGGTACTCATATGACCTTGGGCCCATCCCATAATTTATCTGAGCCTCCATTTCCTCATCTGCAACATGGGAATAATAATATTTGCAATGCCTCCTTCACAAAGTTGTTGTGAGCAAACCTGAACACACCATCCAAATGCAGGTTATTAGGGAGGAAAGAGAAGAGAATAGGGGACAAGATCATGGACTAAGTCTCTGAAAACTGGAGGAACACTGCTACCTCTGAAACAAAAGAGGAAGAAGAAAGGATTAGTGAAAATAAAGAGAACTGGTCAATGAATAAGCATTTATTAGGAATTGTGTGCCATACACCGTGTACTGGGTGCTAAAATTTCATTTAATAATGAATTGATCATTAAGCTGTTGATACTGTTGAACCTGCATTGATATACTCAATCTCTAACTCTTGATTTTGCATCACAGAAATAAGATTTTTAAAATACATCTTCTAAAAGATTGTCTTTCCAGAGCATGCAAATATGTCATGAAGTATGTCTAAATTAGAATGGAAGAGAAGAAGGGGACAAGGTCGGGGCAAGGGTATTTGTGATTTTCTTGGCTACTGGCAACTGCACATGATCAATTGACATAATAGATTCTCTTTTCCCTTAGCAATTGTATTAGGTTCTGCCTTCCCCATTAGCTCTTAAGATAATGTACTGCATACCAAAGCAGAAAGTATTTGTAAGAAACACTTCAATCTGGAGCCTGATTCATGAACTTTGGCCTCTTTTGAATTTATCAATAACCCCAAAATACTTTTCCATAATTCCACACTAGTTGAGCTGATGAATATCTGCTTTCAACTGATGGACAGGGAGACATTTCTAAAGACTGAGAAGTTTGCTACGTGATCTTAATCCTGGAGCATCTTTTCATTTCTTTTAACAAATAAAAATTGTTTTGACCTACTGTGGGAAGCATCTCTGGGGCCATCTTGATGCCACATGAAGTTTTTCTGATTCATTGTTTGGACAGTAGTTGGTTCTAACTCCAAAACACCAGGATGGGAGCCACAGATCACTCATCCTGGATTCCTGCAGCTCCCACAGAGAAGATCCCCAGTCTGAAGTTTCTCCCAGCCTCTTCTTCCCCCTTGATGTGCCTTGTATGAGGTTGTCCTGGTAGAAGAGACAGAAATAAATCATGTACTCGGGTCCTGATGGATGTGGATGAGCCTTTAGAGAACATCAAGTCTAGGCCCTTCATTTTACAGATGAAGAAACTAAGACACAAAGAAGCTAAGATACTTTCTCAGGGTCATATAGTTAATAAATGTCTAAGATAGGATTTGAACCCACAACTTCCTAGCTCCAAGTCCAAGTACCCTAAAAGCTAGGTCATGATGCCTCTCAACTATTTTGATACTTTTCTATACTGAGTAACTCAGAGTACAAGAACTACATTGGGTTATTTTATCCACTTTATAGCTGGGCATCTAGGCCCCTGGATATCCTCAAGGAGAGGAAATGGGGATTCCATGGGTGTCTACACTGGTAAGGTTGATGATCAATTTCCTTCTAACCCCTCTGAGAGAGGCGATGAGCACTTGAATTGCTCTGAGCATCCCTACAATAAATCTATTTTCATAATCACCATGTGTGGTTTGTGTCTTTCACCCCAAGAACTCTCAAACTCACTAACACCCTGATACTTGATGTGAGGTTTAGGACACTGTGATAATTTCAAATTCAATCAAGTGTTCCCTGTGAAAGAAAAAGATCCTAAATCTGGTTCAACTTTTTAAAAATTTCTCTCAAATCTAAAGTTGGTTTTAAAAGATAAAAAACAATAAAGATTTCTTGCATTACTAGAAATGAGCTACCACCTGCTTTTGAGGAGAAATAGAGGTAAGAATCAATAGATTTGTCCTCAAGTCAACAAACATTTATTAAGTATCTGCTACAATGTACCGGGCACTGTGCTAAGCCCTGGAATACAAAGTAAGACAAAACAGTCTGTTCTCAAGGGGTTCATAGTCTGACTGGGGAGACAACATGCAAACAATTATGCACATGCAAGATACAGAGTAAGTCAAAAATAATCTCAGAGGGACCGTGTTAGCATTGAGGGGCACTTTAAAAAGGATTTAAAGGGTTATAGAAAGCTCCAAAATCCTATAAGAGAATTTGCTATACAAAATACACTGAAGATGAGAAACATGCTACCTGTTCTCTTTTTTTTCCTTTGGTTTGGGGTTAAGTGACTTGCCCAGAGTCACACAGCTAGTAAGTGTCAAGTGTCTGAGGCCAAATTTGAATTCAGGTCCTCCTGACTCCAAGGCCAAAGTTCTATCCACTACACCACCTAGGTGGCTCTATCCATTCATTCTTGTATTGGACTTGCTTATCTGATGTGTAGGCTCATGGTCTGGACAATATTAAGTACTCTGGCTTGGTGTTGTTATTTGTATAAAATAACCTTGTATGGGACCATTTATTATTGAATCATTTTAGCCATGTCCTACTCTTCATGATCTCATTTGGGTTTTCTTGGTAAAGATACGGGAGTGGTTTCTCCAGCTCATTTTTCAGATGAGGAAATTGAGGCAGACAGAGTAAACTGACTTGCCCAGAGTCAGACAGCTACTAAGTGTCTGAGGCCCAGATTATGAACTCAGGTCTTCGTGACTCCAGGCCTGGCACTCTGTCCATTCTGCCACCTAGCTGCCCTTCGGGACCTAGAGCCAACAACATAAATAAAATACATCTCCACATTTTAGTCCAAATCTATAATTCCATTGTTGTATTTTTTTTAAATGGGGCAATGGGGTTAAGTGACTTGCCCAGGGCCTGTGTGGCAGAGGGCCTGAGTGTTATGTGTCTGAGGTCGGATTTGAACTCAGGTCATCCTGACTGCAAGTCCGGAGCTCTGTCCACTTCGCCACCTAGCTGCCCCTTATAATTTTACCAGTATAGGGAACTACTAGTAAGAAAAATCCTCCTACCAACACAGATCCACAAATGTTCTCAATTTCTAGCCTTAGCAAGTTGCCTGGGGCACTGAGGGGTTTAAGTGACTTGTCCGTATTCACATAGCCAGAATAGGCCAGAGAGAGGACTTGAACCAAAGTCTTTCTGGGACTAGCTTTAGTCTGTCCATTAAGACATATTTCCAAACACACACACACACACACACACACACACACACACACACACACACACACACACACGCAAAAGGGTAGCATAATCAACATAATCAAATGTACTTTTTTATTGAATTTCATTGAAGTATTGATCAATGTTTAACTTTCCTGCTTCATATTCTTTGTAAATGACTTTAATGATTAATTTTTATTTATTTATTTATTAAAGGAAGTTATTACAGAGAACAAAGCCAATCTTTCTACGGTAATGAATAGAGATGGAAAATCGAAGGTCCGTGGCAAAACCCAGAGAGGATTTTCCCAGGGCACTTTTTTTCCATGTATCATAAATTTTGGCAATCAACCATGTTGTGTTTTATATTGTAATCCAGCTGTTTCATGTCTTTTTTTCCCCCAACTTAGAGACCCTGGTTTAAGCCATTGCTCTCTCACTAGATTACTATTTTACCCCACTTCCCCTTTTTGAGTCTCTATTCTCTCGTTTGTAAAGTGAGAGCACTGGATGATGGCAAAGGTCCTTTCTGACTCTAAAATTCTATGATTTTGTTGTTCAATCAATCTAGATTGGAAGCTCCTTGAGATCAAGCTCTGGATCAGGTGCTTTTTAATCTAGTCCATTCCACATTCAAGCAAAGTGCTAGACATAGTGACATACTTAACAAACATGTACATTACATTAAACTTTTTCATGCATTTAGAGCTTGGGAAAGCACCGTGTAGCTATCCATCTCACCAGCCGCTCTATTCATACAAATACCTGGACACAACTCAGAAATGGGGCATGATGGAGGGCATCCCAGGCAAAACCAATGATGACATTCAAGTCACCATCTTGCTGCCCGAATAAAAGCTGGTAGAGTGCTCTCCAGTTTTGAGCTACTGAAGCAAAATCCCCCTCTCAGTGGCCTGACAGTGTGGCTCATTGTTCCCTAGAGTTAAGCATAAATCTTGATTTTTAGTGGCATATAAGACTAGACTAGGGAGCCAGGGCAGGGAGGGGGGAGGATGCAAATGTAATATAATAGTCATAATAGTTGACACTTATATGGAGCTTTAAAGTCTGCAAAGCACTTTACATATCTTTTCTTGGAAAGTCAGCATGATATAGAGAGAAGGATGCAGGATCAAAGAGTCTGAGGACCTAAGTTCAAATCCTGGAACTGCCAATCACTATTTATTTTATCCTGGGATAGCCTCTTAATTTCACTGTGCCTCAGTTTCCTCATCTGTAAAATGAGGGCTAGACTAGATGGCCTCAGTTCCTATGAGCTCATACTCTATGATCCATATTTTAATTCACTTAACTGCTCTGAGCCCCTATTTCCTTACCTGTAAAATGAGGGGATTGGACAAGATGACCACCAAAGACCCTTCCAGCTACAAATCTCTGATCCTTTCATTGATCTTATGCTCACTTCGTTCTTTTTTTTTTCTTTTGGTGAGGCAATCAGGGTTAAGTGACTTGCCCAAGGTCACACAGCTAGTAAGTGTTAAGTGTCTGAGACCGAATTCGAATTCCAGTCTTCCTAACTCCAAGGCCAGAGCTCTATCCACTGCGCCACCTAGCTGCCCCTGTTCACTTAATTCTTAAGATTACTACTCCTTCCTCACCAACTATGTGACTCATGCCATTCACTTAATCTTTCTGGGTTGCAGATTCCTTGATCAATAAAATAAAATCCTGTAGAGCCTTCCATAAATTGTTGTTGTGAGGATGAAATAAGCAAATGTATGTAAAAGAACTTTGGGAAAAAAAACTAAAACACTCTGGAAATGTAAGGAACGGATATCTTCCATCACCACCTCTGGGAGAACTCATTGCATGGAGAGAAGCCAACTCAGGAAGTTAAAGTACAAGAACAAGCTCTAACAGCCCATGCCACAGAAAATGCCAAGACATCTAGCATGGTTAAGAAGAGAAACTTGTATATTATGTCCTTGAAATAAAATAACTTCTGCAGTGGAGGAGATGGCAAAACTGGAGTTAAAAGCAACACCAATTTGGGAGTCTATGGTTTGCAGTTATAATATCGTAGAATGTTATAAGGATTGATCATAATATAAGGATCATCTGAGGCTAGAAGGGACCTAAGAGACCCTAGAACAAACCTTAATTCGACAGATGAAAAAACCTGAGGTCCAGGGAACTGTGGTAATTTGCCCAGGATCACAGAGGTAGTAAATACAGGTCGCCTTAGAGCTTTGGACATAGAATCATAGAGAATAAAAGGATTTAGGACTTGGAAGGGACCCTGAAGATCTTATAGTGCTAAGTCCTTATTGTCCAGATAAGGAAATGCTGAGGTCCAAGGGAGTTTAAGGACTTCCGTAGATCCCAGGGTGTTAGTAAAACAGCTGAGGCTCTTTTTATGAAGAATCTATCACTAAGTGCAGGCCCACACCTTTCTTTATAGTGTCTTGTAAGAAGACTGATCATCTTCCAAGTCACTTAACTTCTCTGTCTCAATTTTCTCATCTTTAAAATGCACATAATGATAGAAACTACCTCACATTGTTGGTGTGAGGATCAAATGAGTTAACATATATAAAATGCTTTGCAAACCTTAAAATATTATAAAATGCTACCTATTTTGTCACCTAAGGCATGCTGTTTTGTTGTTGTTTAGTTGTTTCAGTCATGTCCAACTCTCCATGACTGCATTTGGGGTTTTCTTGGCAAAGATACTGGAGTAGTTTGCCTTTCCTTCTCCAGTTCATTTTACAGATGAGGATATGAGACAGAGTTAAGTGACTTGCCCAGGGTCACAGAGCTAGTAAGTATCTGAAATCAGATTTGAACTCATGAAAATGAGGCTTCCTGTTTCCAAGCCCAGCACTCTTTCCACTGTATAACCTACATGCTCCTGGCATGCTACTAGTACCTTCCTAATATTGGATCAGGAGC